ATGATATGTTTGAATATGTTAAACTAGTATTTATACCTATATGAGCTTTACCTGCTTATAATTGTACATTTTAATAGATAATGGTGAATTATTCTATTACTGCAATGTTTATCTCACCCAATGGTTATATTTTATACGTAAAAGCTTTAATAGGGACAAGGGGAAGGAAGGGACTATCAAAAAGTGAAGAGCTTCATTTGTATAGCTCTTCCCTTTCGTGTTTTAGTTTTGTAACAAATGTGGTAAGAATTTTATGCCAATTTAGAATTTCATGCATGTTTTGAGTCACTTGTATGAGTAATTGTGAAATGTGTGTACCTCTGCCCACAATTGATGTATCTGTGATTAAATGAATGAGTGGCTGAGATACTAGTACCAGTGATGTTGTTGTAATCTTGTATGTATGAAAATGGCCATAGCATGTTATTGAGAATTAAATTGTTCCCTTTGAATTCATTATGGAATGAATGATTTGATGGTTATTTTGTATATGGATTGTTGTTTTATGTTATGATTGGCCAATTAAGTTGGATGTGGTCCATATGAGTTAGTCAAAGTAGTTCCAAGGCTATTGGTATTAGGTTGTGAGATTTAGACACCCTTAAGTATGTTGTGGGTTGCAAATGGATTATTTTAGGTTCAAGCGTCCAACTTTTTAATGGTTGAGTATTTGGATGTGAGACTAGTACCAATAGTTAGAGGGTTTGAAGAGCTATAAGTGAACACTTGAACCCTCAAATCAAAAGTCAAATGATGAAATGGAGCACTTTTGAAGTTGGTCTGGAGTGCTGTCTTGACAATAGGTGTGTATTGTGATGTAATGCTCAATGAGAGCCTTAGCTCTTTGTGCCATCCGCCATGACGGACAGCACATGCATCGCGACAAATGGTGCAATATAGGGAGATAGAATTACCTCCTTTTTGTGCTTATTTTGAGATGTTAATTGTTCTCTATACTTCCGTTATATTGTAAAATTTGTTTTAAATTATAGTTTGAGCTCAAATGGATTTTCAAAAAGAGTTTTCTTGGGATCCTAATATTTTAAACTATTTTACTTTTAAACCCTTGGGTTGTGTTGACTTTTCTTAAGGATTTTCATAAATGTTAGTTATCACAATGGTATGGTAGCGTGTTATTTTAGTAATGTCAAGGCGGACGTAACATTATAGCCCATGGTTTTAGTCAAAGGAAATAAGAAGGGTATAAGGATGGTTTAACCATGTATAAGTGATTAAATGACATGTCATATAGTTATTTAAGTTGTGGTAAGTTGAGATAATAAATTGGATCATTGTCATGTGTTTATGTGTCTTGTGGCAATATACTTTGTGATTGAGATAAGAATGAGTTAATTGAGAAATAATAATTTGTGTCACATGTGTTAGTGTGTATTTTGAGAAAATCAACTTCAATCTCATGTGTTTATTAAATTGATATGCAATTGTATAGAATAGGCTTACCTTAGTTATTGAGTGGCTAAACTCACCCCTCTTTTTTAACATTTTACAGGCTTTAGCTCTGTTGTAAAAAGGAAAAAAGCTCTAGAGGCTTAAGAATATAAGAATTCCTAGTATATGCCTCTTTAATTTATTTTATTTTGTGTAATAGATTGAATATTGGCAATTATAATGCATTTTGTTTACACTTGCTCTATATAGTTGTTTGTGATGTTTGGTTGTATTTTAGGTTCTAAGATATTGTTTATGATAAGTTGTAAATGTTAGTAGGGCTAAAATACTAGTGTTAGTGTAATAAGGTTGTTTTAAACATAACATAGATGTTCTTTAATAAAATGCAATGCTAAAACCTCCCCCCTTCTATTTTCGATATTAAAGCGGTTGAGGAGTGAAATTTTAACATGGTGGTGTATTTGCGCATGTGGTGTATTGTACAAGTAGTCTTAAGTTCAATGATTATGGTCTTGGTATTAGGAATGACTTTTGACACTTGTATAAAGTTTTGGACACCATTTTGTTGAGAAAGTTGTAAAAATATGCATAGGCGTCCAACTTCCTGGTGTGACTTGATATGGAAGTAAAACCTATGCCATTAGTTAGTTTTTGTTATGAGTTTTTTATAGACACCTAGATTATCTCATTAAGATATTGGACAAATCAATGTGGCACGCCAGAAGTTTCCTTAATCTACTGTCATAAGCGTGCAACACGCCGCGACACATGACGCACATATGAACTTTGAGTTTGACAAGTAAGGTTATCCTTACTAATCCATCCCAATCCCCTAAAAATCAATGATTAACAAATATTACAAAAATTTCACAAATGGGGTTAACCAAGTTAAATAATTCACAAGCGACGCTCAAATATTACAACAATTGAAAATCCTTCAAACCCTTGCTATGTTCAAATTAAAGTTTCAAAGTAATGCGGAAGCACGTGAAATAAGAAAAATCAAAGTATTTATATAAAATCTCAAAATAGTAAAAAAGTGCTAAAAACTGCACATGTGCCACGGCGTCCGTCACCTCTGTGTCATGCGTCACGGCGCATTACACAAAATATGATAGCGAACAATTGCTGTCATATGATAGCACTAGGAGTGAACTTCTGACGTGTTCCAAATCTTTGACTGATATTTGATTAAGGTTGTTTTGATGTCTACATGAAGCTTTCTTCTAACTCCAACTAATGACATAAGTTTCACACTCAAATTCATTTTCTATAAAGAGTTAGATACCCAAACCCATGTTCACTCCTTTTTCACAAAAACTCATAATATTGGTGTCTAAACTCACACATAAATGCCAAAAGCCTACACTGACCATTCAACCACACTCAATGAACCCTATTGGACTTGTGCAACACACCACTACCACACAAATACTTATATAACACAATTCACCACTCAGTCCCAAATACCATAAATCATAAAGGGGAGGAAAAACTTACACAAATAATTTATTTTCATTTCAAATCATCCTAAAATACACATAATTACTTACAAAAGTATTTTAACCCTGTGCAAAGGTTTACAATTATAATTCACTAACCTAGGGCATAAAATACATAAGTTGTACAATGATAGTACAAGTAGATAAAAAACAATGACATATGACCTAGTTGGCAAATTAACAAAGTTAATACACATAAAACAACAAAATGAGGCATACTAAAAGGATTACTTTATAAATCTTATGTCTCAACATGTTTTCCCTGACTCTGATCGTATGAGTTAAGCCCTGAAAATATTGAAAATTGAAGGGTGAGTATAACCACTCAGTAATCAAGTTTCACCTAATCTATACAGTTGCATATCAATTAAAAATAGATATAATTGGAAATAAATACACATAATGTGATAAACATAGTCACAGTCCACAATACTAACAACCATGTGACTAGGCTTATAGCACATATAATCATATTTAATCACAATGCACATCATAGGGTCACAATAATACCAACTATGTGCCCCTAAACATGTCGGATCATAATAATAGCAACCATGTGGCTAGGTCTAAATGCATGATTAAATGCTAGCCTTATATACTCATGTTACCTTCGACATGAAACTAGTGGCTATTACGTGGCTACGTCCATCATGGACTAACTTAGCCTCTTACTTTTAAGGAGCTATTATGCTAGAATTAACTCGCTCACTTGTGTATCATAATTTCCTCTAATACTAACAACCATGAGGTGTAGTATCTTTAATCTAGCCTCCTTATGAACCAATAGAAGCTAATTAGGTTCGAGTCCCTAATCGAACAAGTGGGATAGTCCTGTATCAATCTTGAGACAAGGGTTATCTCTTGATTTCAACGGTTGGTATTAGGGCAAGCTCTCGATTCCAACAATCACTGCTAATACCATGTGCATTTAACTAACTACTCTCTCCCTAGGCGAACTCTCACTAATAATTATGTTATACACATCTTACATATTATGCATTCTAGTCCACCATTCATGTTTATATATCATTATTTAATTTTTAAAATATAAATGAATAGATTATCCCTTAAACTTTAGATTCAATAGCACCATAAATGCTTAACTCATTTATTATGTAAATTATTTTTTTAATTTTTAAAAATGGTATAATTTGACACCTACTATTAATAAAAGTTAATTTTAATCGTTAGTTAACTAAAAAATATCAAAAAATGATCTTAAATTATAGAAAATGACTAATGTTTTATTCATTTTTTATATTTTTTTATATTATCCATAATTTGTAAATCATTTATTATAATTATTTTAATAACATAAAAATAAAAAACAGAATCCACCAAACATAGAGTTTGTTTGTTTGAGATTTTCTAATGAAAGAGTTATTTTATTAAAAATGATATTTGTTCGATCTTTTAAAAATGTATTGATTAGAATCTAAATTTTTTTATTATATTGGAAAGCTAAGATATAAAAAATAAAATAAAAATTAAAAATATTTAAATAATATTTCTTTAATCTTATTTATAAGACACCTTTTAAAAATAATTTTTGGTCCAAAATATAAGACACCTTATAATAATTAAATTTTTTTTAATTTTATTTTTTTGATTAATTTGAAGATATTTAATGTAATTACATTATTATTTAAAAATAAAAATAAAAATAAAAATACTTCTCACTTTTTTATGATATAAAAAATTAATTTTTTAGTATATATGAAGTGGTTGAAAATATTTTATAATAAAAATTGAAAGAAATAAGTTACAATATTTTTTTATGAAACACAAAATATTATTAAAACTTATAAATCACTGAATAATAAATTATTTTTATAATGATAATTGAATGTAATTTAAAAAAAAAAAAACTTCATAAGCAGAATTGAGATTCTCACTCTGTTTTTCCTCCAATTAGATTCTCCTACTTTGACTGCATAATAGCATGGCATATCCGCTTTTTAATTGGTCCAGCGCAATGTAACCCATCACATGTGTTTAGAATGTGAGGGCCATAACGGTAACTCCACCTCCCAATACGAACAAATCATTCTCACTGCTTGCTCTTCATAAATGACTCCCCGTCTGAGACTCCCATCAAGAGAGATAACACGAGGAAGAGAGAGAAAGAGACAGAGAGAGCGATACCCGTGTCCACTCGACGGCAATGGCGAATACAGATTGCCGGTTTATTTTTCTCTCCCTCTTTTCCCTCCTTTCCTTTATCAGTCTATCATATATTCTTCATGTTTTCCGAATTTTGTTTTCTTAACGTGTAGATTGCGATTGAATAACTCATTTTATCTAGTGTACTCTATGTGTTTGTCCAGATCTGCGGCGTTTGATGTTTCGTTCAATCGGAAAAACTTTTTTGTTCGGATCTTGTAAATTACATGGCGCCTCTGTTTTGTGCTTGTTGAGGGGAAGAAGTATTTTGCGAGTATTTCTTGATTCTTCTTTTTTTTCCCCTAACGTGATTTTGTGATTTTAAAGCCCGTGGGGTGTAAGTCACTGGAGGCAGCGGTTCATCGATCTCTTCCTGAATTTTGTTGTGTGAAAAGCACAAAGCATGAATCGGTCGATAAACCTCTGCATCCAGCGCTCACTTTGCCTCTTTCTCTCTTTTCATGCCTCTGTTCCTCACTAATTTCAATGTGCTCTGTTTGCTCGCCCAGAAATTTCGGAGAAACTCTATACTCTAACCTTTCGTTCCTCTTAGATAGCAAAAGGATCGAATCCCTTTAGCTAAATTTTCATGTTTCGTTTTCCTCTCCTTTTCTCTTTCCCTGCCCCGTGGCAATCTCTCCTGTGGATTTATACTTCTCTGTTTTCTGTATTTGCTGGACGGGCTAGTAATCAATGCCATGCGATTCCTACCGATGTAGTAATTTAAATTTTGTCGCCAATTCGACATTTGGTTTGAAATTTTGTCTCCCCTTCTTGTCTGACCTGATTGAGTGGGCAATTTTTTTTATTCCTCTGATGGATTAATAGTTTCATTTTTTAACTTTTTCATCAATTGGTTTGATTATTTAGATTTGTTCGCTTGTAGTCTAGATGTGATTTTGTAATAATTTCATTCACTTTGTTACTCGTGACGTTGGTAAAAAAAAAAAAATGATGTTACTCGTGACAGGAGATAAATATGGTACAAATAACTGTATTTCAATTGATTCCCCCTTCGTTATGACTTATAATGCATATGGATCTTATACCACTCGTACTGGCCAGAACAATTCATCATCTGCTGCAACAATTAAATGTGAAAGTGTACGTTTTCTTTCCATATACCGGTTTCAATCATTTCAATCCCTGATCTTATAAATGCATGATTACTTGGATTTTATTTTACTTGCACTCGTTAGTTCTTTGAACATGTATATTTGTCTTGTTTTTTCTCCGTATTTAGTTATTTACCTTGTCAAAACTTCTTATGATTAGATCGTTTATTTTTGAATTCGAAATTCGAATTAAATAGTTGAAACATGTCTTTCGGATTAAAAGTTATATTTTCCTTTTGTTTTTATTGCATGACTTTATTTCCTGGAACTATCATCGCCTTCTAGCTTTTTCCTCTCAAGATTTAGAAGCTCAGTTTAGTATTAGTTGTCTAACAGTCTGCTTGAAGTTTATAGTATTTGTTAGTTGCGGATGCGTTTTCTGCTACACCATTAACAGCCAAACCAATCTACTGCTTCGTGGTTTTTGTTTTTGTTTTTTTTTTTCTTGAGGTGTAACTTCCATCAGTAAAAGCAGCTATTCTCGGATCTATAAAACTTCCCTTTTCTCATCTTCACCTGAACTTTCCTTTCCTCATATTCTTAACGCGTCTGTTTAGGCTGTATAAGCATCTTGCTTGATGGTAAGGTCAGCCTTTCTCCATCTAGCATACATATTTTTGTGTTTTCCTTCCGTTGTGTTTTTTAAGCAATATACTTCGCTGGAGTGGAGTTCTTGAGTTTGTTTATCTTCATTTTTAAATGCAAAATTACAGGTCCCTGGGTAGTCAATCTGTTCAGTTGGGGAAGGAGATGTGACTCAACTATAATTTTTTGTTTATTTTTAGGATAATACTCTGGATATTTGTTAGTTTTTAGTGAAAATATAGTTTATGGACATTTTTCACATCCTGGCACCATACATGTGTTTCCATTGAATAATTCGGCAGAGAACATTTTAAAACTGTACTAAATATTTTTTGGTTTTTTGGTTTTTTGTTTTTGTACTTATGAGGATCGTAAACGCATCTGTTTGAGCATGAGAATTTTTGTTGATATTTTAAGCATATGGTTTCATTGTAGTAATAACTGTTTTAATAACTTTTAGTTTAGAAACTTCTTCGGATTTGGTTCCGTGTTGAAAATTTTTAAAATTCAATGGAGAAAGCTGGGCTTATTATTATTTTTAATCCTGGAGATGTATGTCGTTGGATGGAGATTAAATTATAGTTCCATGAGTCTTGTCCATTATCATACTGGCTCTTGTAGATTCCCACGTGCCTTTCCCAATTGAAACCTGCTGACAGCTTCTGAATTGGTGGGTCGGGACTCTGCGGATAAGATACTTGTAACAGTTCTTGGTTGCAGCCTCTTTTTAGATCTTGTAATGGCTGATGGTAATGTGTCACTGTATCAGTCCAAAGCTTTAAATGGTGATTTTGACATGTTTGTTAAAAAGGCGCACGAGTTTCATCTATTGCTTTGTGGGATTTGGTGTCTCTCTCCATTTTTTCCCCCTTCACTTCCTCTCCAATATTCATTTTAACTCTTGGATATTTTTTTTTTGGAGCAAACTTTGGATCAAATTTTGAATGATTAGAATTTAACATTTTCTTAAAATAATTTTTTTATTACAATCGTAAATTTTGAATTATAGTTTAAATTAGATTTGTTATATTTTAAATTTATTTATTTATTTTTATAAATTTAAATTTAAATTTAAATTTTAAAAAATATTAAATTTTAATCATTCAAAATTTGATATGGGAAGTTGAGAGGGAGTGAAAAAGAAAGAGACGAGGCAAGTGAGTTTTAGCATCATGGCGTTGGTTTCTTTTTCAAGAAGCTAAAGGGGGTAAATATTACTTTAGATGTCATTTTCTTGTGCAGAAGATCTAAAGGTCTTTGCTTGTTGCTTTCTTGTAAAGGAAAAGGTTTCTTTTACTTTTTAAGACGGTAGGTTTCCATGTGGAAGGCAATACTATACTGTACGCTTGTGAACTGTACTGTGTCTCTGTATTTGCTGCCTTGAAAGTAATGAAATCTATTATTTGTTTGTTGAGCGCATGTTGCGAGAGAATCTCCCAGCCGATCATGAAGGAATCCGGGGCATCAGATTCCTGCTTATGAATTTCGAATTGAATGATATAACCAAAGGAAGCAAAGTACAAATTTGGATTCTGGGAATGATAAGTGCATAATGATTTTCTACTAATATTCTTTCTTGTGATTCCTCGTGAAAATTCTGTCATGCTGCTGTCTTTTATTCTCTCGGGACTATCTTCTGCCCACCTTGCATGGCCAAGTCACACACCATTCTTATTAATGGAAGAGTCAGCTTGGGCTTAGGGTTTGCGCAACTCGTCCAGTCTCCCACTGGGATTAATTGATCTTGTATTTTTAAAGCCTGCCTTGGTCCTCTATTTTGTGCCCGGCCATCCTCCCATAATTTAGATGGGTCAAGTTTATTTAGATCGGGTTTAAAGTATTTTATTTTCTTAAAAAAAGTGCATATAATCAAACTCGACCTTAACTTTTTCGATCAGGTTTTGGTTGGCCTGTTGGGCTTAACCAAAATTATCACTTACATACATGTAAAGTTAGAAATTCTAGCAATTGAACTTTATTTGGGTTGGGTTTACTTTGATCTGGATTTATTCAGATTAGATTTAAAATATTATTATCTCTTAAAAAACTTTATATAATTAAGTTTGACTTTAATTTTTTTTTGGACGGGCTTAAGTGAGCTTGTCGGACTTAGCTTGAATTATTGGCGTTAACTATTCCTCTAGTTTTTTGAATAATGGAACAAGTGCTATTAATTTTAGATCTATGAAAGTGGGAAAACGTTACCTTATCTTGTTGGCTCCCCCGGGGGGGTCAGGGTGAGATGCCGAATTCATGATCAGGCCAACGAGGGAGCAAACCTGCTCGCATGGCTAACTATGGTAGCATAAATTGGTGGAGTTGTGGTTGAACAGGTTTTTCATGAAAGTGATCGTGACAGACAACGGTAGGAGAAGAAATGGCCCGGGCCAAACTTCAATGATGTTTTTAAATATAATTCATATTAACATGCAAATTGAATAAATTCCTTGAAGAATTATAATTTTGTTTTAATGTATTGAAAGTTATGAAATTAGGGAAAATATTACTTGATAGCTGTATATAATTTTTATGGACACCTAATAATTTGACGTGACGCGAAAGATTAAAATAAAAGCTCATTTTAATGACTAGGGTGTTTAATAATACGGCTCACATCACAAGTGCTCCAATATACAATTATGATGATGGCCAAACTTTGGCGTCTTCTAATGATGTTTGCTGAGATGGAACGAATAAATCAAAGGAAGTGATTATGATGCGGAGGATGGATGGATGAAGAAGAGCAAGGATTCAAATAAAATACAAGCTGAGTACATCTCATATGAATTATTATTGTTATTAAATCAATAATTACTAATACTATACTACTGTGTTTTGGTGGCTGGCTATAAATATAGGCAGAGCGTGGCTGCCAAAGAAAAAGACCGCCGACTGGTAATTTACTCACAATTGGCTACCTTAGTCAAATTATATTATCCTTCCCTCCCTTTTTTGCCAATAAACAAAGATAATATCTAAGCAAAAATGATTCCTTATCCCTGTTTATGTATGTCCTTTCGTTTAAGTTTGTTTAGTGGAATGGAAATTAAATAAAGCATGTGAAAAGAAATTCTTATTCATTTCACGCAGTTTTTAGTAAAATTCATTTTTATGTAATATATACCCTGAAACATCAATCTGCAACTGTATTTGTTATCAAATTAAGAATGAAGGATTCTCTTATCTTAAAGCTAAGACTAGATTACATAGAGACGTCCTCTAAGTTTTGTGGAATTTAATTAATTTCTCTTTCATTTTTATAAGATACGTGCACGCATCTCTGCAAGTTTATCATTAGATTTTGTAAAATAATTTTAATTTTAATATAGAAATATTATCCTATTGGTTTGAATAGTTAAAAATTATCAATTTCTTCTTCTTCTTTTCTAACTAGATTCATAAATATGAAATATGTACTCGTCTATTAAAAAATATAAAACATTTTTTAAGAGGTTGGATGTTACAAAATGTAAAGCATTTTTAATGTTTCAAGTGTAATCAATACGTTTGTTTTTTCAAAAATGCCTCTATGAATAAATAACTTTATATTTATTTTAAATTGAAACATTCTATTAAATAGAGGTAAATATAAAAAGATGGTATTAATTTAAAGATGAGTAACTGTTTTATTAAAGTAAAATTTAGTTAAAAATGCTTTAATTTTTAATGAAAGGAGTAGTTTTTTAATATGCTGAGGGTATATCATAAATTAAGCTGATCCATCCGGCAGAAATTTGATTCCAACACATTCAAATTTGCATGTTAATACTTAATAATGATAAGAATGAAATCATTATAAAACGAGATGTGGTTCATGCTCTAGATGGAGCAAAGGCATTATTCAGGTATTTTGGGCCAGAAGCATTACTCAAGGAGTTGAGTGAAGTTTGATCTTCCTTCTATGCCAGTAAAAAGGAAAGAAATGAAATTTTGGTAAATTGCAAATTGTAAATTTCACTGCGCATCATGTTACATTCCCATCATTTTCGTCTTACTTTTAATTTGCTTCTCAAGAACCATCCAACACATATGATGCCCCATTCATTCTTCCAGAGCCTTGGTCTCCTCAACCCAGAATCACAATATAAGATAAAGAAAACTCTCCAAAGGGCAGGTAAGAAGATTATTTTCATTATGTACAAATTATGTATCAAGCTAAGGAACCAAAAAGGGTGACCATGAAGGAATAGAGCAAGGCTAAGTAGGCGTGGAAAGGACAACATCATAAGACCCAGAAGTGCTGAAAGAAGAAGCTACAGCAGCAGAAGATAGCGTTGAGGAAGGATATAATATGGCAACAGGCTACTTTAAGATATGACTCATCAGGCCTCTCATGGGGTTTCTTCATGACCGTCATCTGTCTGACAAAATGAGGCGCTGAAAGAAGGAGCCACAACAACAGAAGAATAAACCTTAGAACTCCCAAACGAGACCCCACAGCACGCAGAAGAAGAAGAAGAACCTTCTTCAGAGCTATTGGAACAGCAAACTAAGGTTTCTTCAACAAGCGTGTCGAATCCGTCTCTCGTAATATCACTGATCTGGTTCTTCCAAGGCATGCTTGTGGAAGAAAGAACTGCATGATGGTTTTTCATGATTGCATGCTTGAGAATCTGGTAAGCCCTTGGATTCTTAAGCAAAAAGCTGTAATTTTCCTCGTGTGTGTTGGTGATCATCCCTGAAGCGCTCTGGAAGTTTGTCTTGGCATTTCTTCCTCTTAGAAGCCTTGCAGCACAATCATAAGCCACAGCAGCATCTTCTGCTCTGTCAAAAGTTCCCAGCCAAAGCCTCAACTTCTGTGAGGAGTCCTTGATCTCAGCGACCCACCTTCCTGAAGGCCTTTGTCTCACCCCTAGGTACTTTCTTTCACTCACTCTCATGTCTGCTCTTTTTGGAACCTTTATTATCCTGCTCTCTGTGGTCACATAGGGCTTATCACAAGATTGGGTTTTGTTTGAGTTTTGAGAAGAAAGTGGACATTCTGATGAGGTCTCTAGGTTTTCCATGAGAGTAGGAGCAAGGGTTTGTTTATTTAGCATGGAAGAAATATTGAGCTAGCTAGCTAGATGATAACTGATAACAAAAGCCTTTTGATTGTAACAGTGAGAGATTGATGATGAGGTAATAGCATGCTGTTTGTCAGCTGATTTGGTTTCTTTCCCTTCTTTTCATTAAAAATCATTATTTATTCATAATATTTTAAAAAATGAATCAGAGGAAAGAAGATGATTGGAATCTTATCAGATAGAAAATTTCCAAAAAGACCTTTGCTTTAGACTCGGAAAGTTCAATATCGATCGACCCAGAGCCGTTGAAAAATAATATAGCTGTTCCTGCTTTTGTATTTACGTCTGAGTTGAAGACAAACATTGTAAGTGACAAAATTGGCAGATTAAACTACTTTAACAGGTAACTACATGTGTTATATTTATGGATGATTTGGAAATCATAACAATACTTTTCACCAACCTAATAGTATTTCAATAACTTCACGGAATAACTTCACTGATTTAGTTATTTCTCTATCCCTCCCATGTGCTATACATAAACTAATTGTTTTTTGAATTTTAACATTTCCCTGAATCCTCCTATTTTGATCCGAACAACCGAAAAATTAAAGACCTAACATGAGTATTGGAGACGCTGAGCGGTAAGTTTACATAGTTCTCCCTGGTTGGATACAAAACTTTTAGGAGTAAATTTAGCAGATTGAAGGGAGGGAGGGCCTAATTTAGATTTTCTCTTTTGAATTAAAACCAAAACCATTGGTTCCTTTTGTTTTTTTCGTTCCATTCTTATTAATCCAAGTACATGCATACCATAAAGTAACATAAGATAATAAGAATATGCCTGTCAGCTAGCATATATATTGATTTCACATGCACTTAGCAGTTAGCAAGGATTTTGATATTAATTAGCTTATTAATTAGTGACGGAAAGTGCATATGTAGGAGAAACCTACAGCAGTTTAGATGCATAAACAAAGAAGCAGGGCAAGATGGTACTTCTGACACCAATTAGAAGGTGATGATCGATCAGCCATATGGTTCAAAGGAGTTGAAGATAAGTCCAAAGGGAATAAGCTGCTTTTATTGCGATTAATATATTTGAAAACCCAGTCTCTTTAATTTGCGTAGCTAGTACAACTCTTAGAGGCATAATTCCAACAGCCAACAAACAAAACTCACACCTCAAAAGCCTGAAAACAAACAGAGTCCACATGTTTCTTTTAACTTCATATTCATATTTAAAAAAATAACGAAAACATAATCGTGGACATTTGTCACGTAATGGGTGTCTCTGTCGTCCTTGTTAGTTCCTCAAAGTATGCTCTTTCCTCTACTGCTTCGCTGAAAATACCGTTCAATTCTGGCCCACTGCAAATTCTTCAGAAGAATCATACTTTTAGTCTCCTCGATATATTTTTCTAAGTTTGTTCTTATGTATCCTTCGTTTTGCCAAATTTACCTCAAGAGATCCTATTCATATAGAAGTGAAAAGTTTAGTTTGCACTTCATGGATTTCTAAGAAACATGTACACTGACCAACATATTGTGACAAGCAATTAAGTGCTTACGCGTATCTTGGAATGTAGCATCAAGTTTTTTTTTTTTTTTAACCACTTATCGAGTATGTAAACAGAAACATATTTCAGAAAAAACTACATGCATTTTCATCCTAAAACAGATGAAGTTTTAATCTGGTCTTTGAAAAAATATTTTTCATTGTATTTAAAAAAATTGAAAAGTTTGTGCTATGTTCTCCCTTGTATTCAATTTTGATCCACAATTCTGTATCATATTTAATTAACAGTTTATTGATTTCGATGTTATCTATTGATCTGGCATTTTGTAACTCGTATTTAGATTTGATGACATTAAAAAATAATACGCTGTTAAATATGATGTCGAGCTTTAGACGGAAATCGCATAAAGAGACGATAACATTGTGAATAATGATTGAATAATAAATTTATGTATCTTTAGCAGTAGTGATCAAAAATAATTTTTTTACAGCGTGCCATGTTTCATAACTTTCATAAGAGAGACAAGATGTGGCGCAAACAGGCGTATGGTAATTAAGACAGAAGAGATGGCACGTTGAGGCTGATGAGGAATGACGTGGTCAGGCTTTGGTTACATAAAAATTATAATTATAATGTACATGTGTGTGTGTGTGTGTATAGACGCGAAAAAGGATGGGTATAGGGACAAAAATATTAGGATTGGTACTAAGCTTCAATTAATCTAAAGCTACCTTTTTTAAGGGGTTGGGACAAAAGGAGGTTGTTGTATAATTAGCACTGTTATGATTCTGAAGCTATGGTCCTTGCCGCGTCAGCTATGCAATGTGGAGTGACAATAACAAGAACAGCAACACTGAAAGACATATATAGGATTTATTGGTCTCTGATCTATTCTTGTCCGGGTTGCATGCATCCATGCAAACATTGAGTAACATAATTCAGAAAAGACCCCCACTGCATAACTTGGTTTATATCAAAACTATCGGCACCTAACTTCAAAGGATCAAGTTCAAAACAACCAATAAACGTAACTAACATGCATACATGAATAGCCAATAATTAAACTAGTAGACAAGTGTCCAGATATTTCTTTTTTTTTTTTCCTTTTTCTTTTTCTCTTCCAAGTCTTGAAAGAAATAATACAGTTTGATTTTTATTAGAGGGACTAGATATATTTCGTGTGTGTGAAAGATTTTTTCCCCCAAGTTGTTTTTGCTGTAAATGGGCACGGTAAGCTCTCCTAACATCAAACAGTTCGTTGGGTTGAATTACGTTGATGTAAGCCTTTTTCCTGAAAAGGTTACTTTTTGCATAAAAATCAATTTGTGAAATTTTATAAACAGTATGTACATAATTCTGTTAGTCGAGCTAGACTATCAAGGACAGTTGGCAAGTGAAGGTGGGAAGATTGAGATCTTTGGATGCTTTGGTTTATAGTTCGTTCAGTTGTGGAGGTTGGGTTTTGAAAATTGCAACTTGAAAGAAGAAAAGTTTCCGTATTGCACCGTTACGTTGTTGGCAGTCTTCGATGTGCTTGTGCTTAATTTGATGGAGACCAGATCATTGCTTGGAAGAAGAGAAGGGAACAATTTTAATTTCTGGTTCCCTTTTGACGTCTTTAATTTGCAGATTGTGAGACACAGTATTATTCTTGTTCTTCATCAAAATGTCATCCCCGATCCTTGTTTGCATCCTATATGCGTGAGGCAGCTAGCACATGTGGGTATTCTCTCTGCTAGGCTTCCTTTTCCAAATCATGTTACAGTTCCTATTCAACATATTGTATGTTTGTTGAGCAAAGTAACTTTCTAGATTTTAACATGACAATCATTAGTATTTCTAATTTTATAGAATTTTGTTTTTAGTGTTTGTAATTTTTTTTTTGTTTTCAATCCCCATAGTGTTAGAAAAATTGTGCAATGTTTGTTTCAAAAATCCTCAATAATGCTAAATTACAGAAATTATATGACCTGAAAACAAATTACAGAAACTAAAAATAAAACCTGATAAAAATATAGGAATCAATTATTGTGTTTTTCTTTTTAACTTTTATGTTTATTAGTCAGATGCAATGTATGAGAAAAATATCAATACAAAAATGAATATCTAGGAAAATAACATAAAATTTAAAAAAATTAAATAATAAATAATTTCATCTTGCAATAAACATAAATTAAAAACACATTTTTAATTAATTTAAGAAGTTATTTTCATCAACTTCTGAAAAAAATGTTATCAAAATATAAAGGCACACGAAAATATTATAAAATTAATAAATAAATAAATGATAAATCAATTTTATGAGCAAAAATAGAAAAAGACATTATAAAAATCTCATAATCACAAACAATAGTTATTCTTTTATAACTACAACAAAATGCAATATAATTTTTAATTTCTTTTAAATAAAATCTATACACAATAGGTCACTATTTCAAGATGCAATATTCTTTAAAATGATTAGATTTGGAAAAATGAAAAAAAATCTCCAATATTAACTTTGAAAATGATTTGTCATTCATATTTTGGGATGTGTAAAACAAAATTCACATTTTGGGATGTGTAAAACAAAATTCTTAATGATTCTCAAGCCCGCCTGTTGAGGTTTGTATTGGAGATGAGTAGTAACAATTTCATACCATGCATTAACGGGCGGTGAGTCTAATGAAAATAATTAATATTTAAATTTTTATTAAAAAATGTGCCTACATTTAATGTATTGTGACCGTGCCCCTCCCCCAATAAGATAATAGCTGTAACCAAAAAAAAAAAAAAAAATCACACCATCCTTTCCATTGAAGTTATTTATTTGATAAAGCAATTGACGTCTTTACTATCAATATTTGAAATTCAATATTTGAGCTCGTAATGCAAATACTAAAAATATATGGTCAGTGTTTAATTAAACTTAAATAAAATGATTTATTTGAAATTAAAGTTTTAGGACTTTGGGTATATTTTGGTACGGTATTAATGTGTAAAAATGAAAGTGATATTTATAATTTATTGAGAGATCAAATTACAAACATTACAAATTAAATTTATAAATAAGGATTATGTTCCTTATATTAGACCTAACGCAATAGGTGGATCCACATTGTTGGGAGGGAAGCAAATGCATTCCTTACTTTGGAAAACATTCCATACTTGTGTCGTAAATTTTGGTATTTTATATCTTTTCTTTTTTTTTTTGTCAAAAGAAAGTCATTTTAATTAATATGAAAAAAAATTAGTGCATATACCAATAGCCAAAGCTTAAAAAGGGGGAAAAAACACTAAAAAAACCTAGTCAATGCAACCAACCACAAAAAACTTACCAAAACCTAACATACAAATTAGGAAAGGAAATAACAAAAAAACCACAATCACAACATATCAGAACCAATACTGATAAAGGCCCTCAGCCAATGCCACATGTATCCACAACCATAATTTCAACAATAGCTAGATTATCCGCAGAAAGTATATTATGTGTTTAACTTCTCGATATTTTGAACTTCACATTTGAATTTTAATATTTTACGCATGTCCTTGGCTTTTAATTTTTTGCAACCCAGTCCTAGCAGGAGATTTTGTGACGCCACTCGTGTAACAAGAAAT